AAGCACCTAGAGGTCCTTTATCCTACCTCCACAAAATGCCTGATTGCAATTTGCTGCCGAATCTCTTTCTGTTGCATCCTTCGAAAGCTATGCTCGGATCTTCCCTTCTGCGCTCCTTGTCTATTTTCAGAACAAGGGTTTTTATTTCTTAAACTTTCAGTCCCTTTTATAACAGTTGCCAGAGACCAACACTTATTTCACTTTAATGCTCGCAATATAATTAAGGAAACAGATGCTAGAGAGTATAAAAATGATGGAAGGTGCTGTAAATCAGAAGTCCCCACAACATAGTTTCACCAGTGACCTGGGTGTGGATAATTCCCACATTTATGCCCTTGGCCCCGGCTCTCCATCCTCGCCTCCACCATCACTGCCTTTGAGTACATGATTGATTGATTGGTTAATTGGTTGATTTTTTAAAAGATTTATCTATTTATTTTAGAGCGTGGGAGAGCACACAGCAGGCGGAGGAGCAGAGGAAGAGGGAGAGAATCTCCAGCAGACTCCCCACTGAGTCCCATCTCAGGACACAGATCACGACCTGAGCCAGAATCAAGAGTCCACTGCTTAACCCACTGAGCCACCCAGGTGCCCCTGAGTACATGATTTAAAGTAATGGTTCTCAAAACATGGTAGCACTGGGCCCATCCCAGACCTACTGAATGGGAAACTCTGAGGGCGGCGTCCTGCATCTGTACTTCAACAAGCCCTTCAGGTGACTCTGACACCCCCTGGAGCGAGCCCAGGCCCTGAAACTTCACGTCTTGACTCCACCAGGTTGCTTCTAATTTCCTATTTCCTTAACCTCACTGTTCTTTTATTATTATTATTATTATTATGTTCAGTTAGCCAGCATAAGTTTTTGTTGTAGTGTTCAACGATTCCTTAGTTGCATATAACACCCAGTGCTCATCCCCACACCTGGTCCCTCCATCCTCCCACCCCCCGCCCCTCTGTAACCCTCAGTTTGGTTTCCAGAGTCCACAGTCTCTCATGGTTCGTCTCCCTCTCTGATTTCTTCCCATTCGGTTTTCCCTCCCTTCCCCTGTGGTCCTCCGCGCTATTCCTTATGTTCCGCATATGAGTGAAACTGTATGATAATTGTCTTTCTCTGCTTGACTTATTTCACTCAGCATCCTTATCAACAGCATCACAACCATTTTTGTTTGTTGTCAGAATTGTGAAGCCATTTTTCCTCTTCTTCGTTTTGCCTTCTTCTTCAGCCCCTCTCACAAAGATAGCCCATTTTGTCACCAAGGTGTGTTTAGAAATCGAATCCTCCTCACGTATTGTGGGTCCACACAAACTCAAATCCCAGCCTTTTCCTATAAACCAACCATTATCCTCTCTGCAAGTCTCTGATTCCACACGGCTATTAGAATAATTTTCCTTCTGTGCCGACTTTATCTGCCACAGCGTTGCTCCAGAACAGCGCTATTTCATTTTGAACCAAAATACAATAATCTGGCTCATCCTTTGAGGCTTCCAGCAATCCACATTCCTCGGTGGCCTCAGGCTCGGACCTTTCGAGCAAAGCTGCTCTCATTGGCTTGTTTCACTTCCTCTGTATTTTCCGTTTCTCTTGTTTGGAATGCCCACCCTCTCCTTCTCTCTGCTCCAGAGCCTCTTCCTGCTGTAAATCCAATTCACATTCTTTGACTCAGGACCCTAAGTTTATCATTCAACATTTATTTTAACTCTGTGATGACTGTATTGAATTTGCCCTAAGTTGTAGGTGTCTTTCCCAGGCATTATTTCAAGTTGATACAATGTATCTTCCCTCCAGATGTTTTCCCTACATCCTCCCAATGTTCTTTTACTCTTTACTATCCTTTTAGGCCAAGATCTGTGGTCAACCACTTAAAAGTAGGGGAAGTGAGATAGCGAAACTCATGTGTCCACATTTACAGTTACTAGTAGCCCTGACTTAGGTCTACGGGAGGGAGTATGGACATAACTGTCCAAACCCACAACTACTTGGCCAAGCCAATTGTTTCTGGATTCTGTGCTGTAACTGTTCAGAGACACTGTCCCTTATTGTGACTTTACCTTTCAAGACACAGTTTATTACCTAGTAAATCTGAAACAATGAAATCAGTGTGTACTTACGTGTGTATCCATATATCTTCTCTTTACCATGGGCCCAAACTTAAGGAAACTCTATGAAGGCTATAAACAGAAAGAAATTTACCTCAACTCTGATTGGTATTCCCATGGCTCCCTGAAATAAAATAGAGCCTGTTTGTTCTGAATATGTTTTTATGATTTAGTGATATCCTATAGAGTACTTTATTTTAATTTCAAGAACGCACTGAACAACAGATGTGGTAGAAGGCCGTGAAAGGGAGAAATGGGTTAGAGAAAATCAGTCAAACTAAAAATACACAGCACCAGGCTTCCAAAGCCACGCTGGCTATAATAGAAGGAGCAGGAAGCATTAGTAGGAACCAGTTTCGTTTAATTCTGGCACTGGGAGCAAAGGAATTGTACTTTTTTACTTCTTATGGGTACTGTGACGGTGTTAAAGCAGCATCTTCAGCTTCATCATTTGTATTTGGAGTTCTGTCATCAACAGCAGTCTTTGGATTTTTTGTTTTTTGAAGATTTTATTTTTAAGTAATCTCTACACCCAATGTGGGGCTGGAACTCATGACCCTGAAATCAAGAGTCACATAGTCTACTGACTGAGCCAGACAGGTGCCCCTCAGTCTTTAGATTCTTATGGTTAAATTGGTACTTGTCCACAATTTGCTATCTATGAACCCTAAATCTAAAAGCTCTGAAAACTGTTTTTAGAACTCTTAGGGTGGTAGAATATTACCTGAGCTGAACTAATTTGGTGTCAAAACCTGACGTAAGCCGACGTAAAAATTATTTAGTTTTTGTTTATCCCACGTGGGGTGAATATTCATACATTGAGCTTCTCAAACAATGTGTTTGAACACAGAATGAAGTTCCAGACCGCTTGGGCATATGATGTAATATATTATATGGATCCTATTATCTGTTTAAAATTTTAAATTCTCTGAATTTGGAAACATATCTGGCCTGGAAGATATAGGATCTTGGGCCTGAACACATTTTTTCTCCCCTAACTTTATCAGAAAGCAGTTCTCAATTATGTACTATTGTCTTGAAAATATCTACTTAATACCTTGACATTTCCAAATGTCTCTACTATGAAGGAAATCACTAAGTCGTTGTTTCAACAAAGAACTCGGAATACAAGTTACACAAAGGGACTGAAAATACTTTAAAACATGGTGCCAAGGGGCACAAGTCAGAATACAAGAATGTGAAGAGATTTCCACATTTTATTCCTTAACTTCCATGTGGATGTGCCGAATGAAAAGGAATGCACATACACATGTACTTATAATATGTACACGTGGGTGTATCTTATCCATGTAATGGCAAACTTGGAAAACAGATTTATAAATATTGACTGTGTGTGTGTTTCTATATCATACTGTCTGCTCACAAGAGATCATAGTAGTCATTCAAATAAAAGATATTTATTGTTGTAGATGTAACTACACACACATATACACACCATCTCCACACAAGATCTTTCATCAGCCACCTACTTTTCCTAGTGTCATTATAGAAGATTGGTACTTTTCAATATTTTATCTGGTGGAGTGGTTATTACTGAAATGAGTGTTGGCTCCCAATGCATGATGCCAACTTTGTGGGAGGATAGGTTTGGTGTGATTACTACAGAACTGAATAATTCTGATGGGAGAGGAGTTGTATACAAAACACTCTGAAAGTGTTGGGGGCACAGGTCTTTTGCTCGGCACTGGGCTGTGACTCCCAGGAAGCACTCCCTGGGCTTTTCTTGGGAGAAAGGCTAGCTCATTGCTGGCACAAACAGGGCAAAGCACAGGACTGGCAGAGTCAAACACTGACTGAGGGTTCCCCATGTGCCAAAATCTGAAAGCAGCCCCTGGGAACTAGTACAAAGCTACTGGCAGGCAAAAGGGCCTTTCCTCTGCAAGAACTCACAATGCAAACAGACATGCAGGGCAACCACAGACTAAAGGAATTATCCAAGGTCTATTAGTACAAGAGCACTGATAATATTAGTAATATGCATTATGAAAGTCAAATTTAAAAACATTTCCAGAAGAAAGATACCAAACCCTGGGCTTGCTAAGACAATCTTTTCCCTTTTACCAGAGCCCATGCTCTTCTGTATGGGGGTATGTATTGCAGAATGTGATTGATCAAGAAAAGGTGAAGAAGGTGCTATACTAGGAAAAGGGGGACCCACCCCCAAAACAAGTAAATTTCCATCTACAAGTTGGAAGCTGGTGCCAGTCAAAAGATGCGGCGATGGTTAAATGTGTAAGTGAAGGACTGGTTCTGGAGCCTCGGGGCATAGAGAGAGACAGAGCGCCTGGCAATTCTTAAAAACATTTCACTGACTGTATGCAGGCCTTTATCTTAGAGCATGAGTATCACTCTCCTTCCCAACCCCAAGCCAGAACTCGTATATTGCTGTGTCCCGATGGGAACGGATTTCTTCCCTCAGCAGGCCAAGGCCCCAGCGAGTGAAGGAGGGAACAGGCCACGCTTCAACACGAATGCCAGTAGCATCCTTTGGAGACCATCTCGGGACGTCCTAACTGAAAATCCATGTTTCTAATTTAAGTAGGAGACAATAATTACTCATACAGCCAGGGAGAATTTCAAATCCCTGCCTATTTGCAGTGCTGTCTAAAAACAAGCAAGTCATCCTTCAAACTTGACCAAACTACGACTGGAATGAGAACTCGGTCGTCCCCGAAGGGTGCGCTCCCGGCACTCAGCGCTTACGTGTGGCGCACAGATGGCTTCTGGCTCGTTCTGTGTAATCCGATCATCCTGCACGCCTGTGTCTCACACTTCGTCTCCGGGAGTAATTGAAAAGCTCACCGCGGCAAGTGTCTCTTCTTCCAGATGTCGTCAGTAGGAAGAGCGTGTCCTTCGCCACCTCTCTGACAGAGGATGCGGCCATGGCTCTCCAGACCAGAGTCGCTCCGAGCAAGGTAAGGAGGAATGACTTCTTTGCATTGGCTTTCAGTTACTGCCTCGCACTTGTGTAAGCAAATCTGTTCTATAAATGGCCTCTCGGTCAGTAGGCAACTTGTTTCACTTTTGGCTGGGAGCTAATGCAGAGAACGTTCTGCAGTATTCCTTGCGCCCGCGGTGAGGGTGGCAGTCTAGAGACACCCGTGCCCAAGAAAAGATTCTAAAGCGTTCAGATAATGGTCATTTAGGAGACGCTCTCACTCACAGGCAAACCTAGTATTAACACCTGCACCTCTGCTCTGGGGTTCTGAACTCATGACAGTTCGTCCTTCCTCTTTTGGGGGCAGGGGATGGCTTTAATTTTTCCAACTTCTAAAAGACGTGCAAGATTTTAAAGGAAAAGTATTGGAACACTTTAAGCTGGTCGTTTGTTAGTTTCTTTTTCCCTTGAGGCTAGTGTTAATAGTTATGTTTTATTTCAGTATAAAAATACCCCTTAAAAAAAAAAATCAAAGCACCTAAAACAAGGAAGTATGCAAAGCCTCAAAGCAGCTGTGTAAATTCACACAGGCTTTGGGCCTATAAAGATCTAGCCTTAAGGGAATGACACTCTGGCAAGTCAGATTTTTACTTAAAAATTAAATTATGTTTTATGAATTAGTGCTCCATTCGCTTTAATAAAATATCAGCACTGTGCATGTTTCCTCGAGATTTTTCTGCTCACTGCCATCATCACAACATACATCATCAGTTAGAAATGTTAAGTATGGCAACAGCTAAGAAAAATTTTCTAGGTCAGTGAAAACATTATTTCAGGGAAAATATTTTTTAAAAATATTTTTTTTAAGAGCTTATTTTTAAGAGCTTTTAAACTATTCATAATTTATATATAGTTTGGGGAGTGAAGGAGCAATAATAACTTTTACTGGAGAGAAAAAAATTTAAAGGTAATATCCTTTCCCTTAAGTAGCTTACATAAAGAATGGGGACTCTATATTTAGTTTGGGCTTACACACACACACACACACACTCTCTCTCTCTCTCTCTCCTTCTAGTGTAAATATTCAGGTAATTGCTGTAGGTCTTCACTTTTTTAGAATCCCAGGGCTTGGGCGCCTGGGTGGCTCAGTCGTTAAGCGTCTGCCTTCGGCTCAGGTCATGATCCCAGGGTCCTGGGATCGAGCCCCATGTCGGGCTTCCTGCTCAGCAACGAAGCCTGCTTCTCCCTCTCCCACTCCCCCTGCTTGTGTTCCTGCTCTCGCTATCTCTCTGTCAAATAAATAAATAAAATCTTTAAAAAAAAAAAAAAAGAATCCCAGAGCTTTTTGTGTAGAATCACAACCATAGAACATTAGGCCAATAGTGAATACGTTCAAAATAGGTGAGTTGTTGAAAATCTGGTCTCATGATACATCCGTGTAAGTTATGAGTTAACTTTCCTTAAGTCCTTTTTCATTGTCAATATCATCATCACAGAAACTGTTCAGATGCTCATAAATTAATAGTAATAGCAAACGTGACCTTTATCCAAAGAGAATTCCAAGGCTTAACAAACATTTATTGAGTGTATGCAATGTGCCAGGCATTGGGCTAATTAAATCCCCCCTGTCTCTATACTTTAAATGAGAGAAAAGCTGACTCAAGGGAAAGAGCCATGGCCAAAGGCCATTTAATTAATTTGCTGCTGGGGAAATAGCACAGGAACTGGGAAGAAAGCCCAGGTATGAGGACTGCTAAACTGTTGTTCAGAATACAATGTATTGTTGTTCAGAACTCCAGTAGGATGCACATTTCATAACTACATTGAACTAATGCAAAGTTACAATTGTAAAACAAATGTTGAATTTAAAAAATCACAAAGACACACTGCAGTCCTGCATGTGGTTGTTGCCATGAACTAGAGAATTTCATCCATACAGACACTTTTGGAAGGAACCACTATCAGAAGGCTGGATTGTGCACTGTGGTCCTACAAGTGAGAGAGCCATATTTCATGATTTCTCTGGAGTTGCCCAAAGAACTACAAAGTAAGCTTTCACATGGGGAGTAATAGGGCAAGTTATTATCTGTTGAGTACATAAAGTACTTAATGCTAGGGGTTTTACACATGTTCTGAATACAAAACCCCCATGAGATTTTACCTCTATTTTTATAGATGAGTAAAACAAAACACAGAATAATTGACCAAGGTCATAGACTTGCCGGTGAGAAACTGGGAAAGAAACCCTAGTGTATCTGACCCTGGAGTCTACCTGTTTTACAAATAGACTATGGTTCATACTGAAGTGAAATTTTATTATTATTTTTACTTCTCTTCACTCATCATTATTCAAAATATATTTATTGCCTGCTTATCAAGAACTAAGCAATAGTTTCGAGGCTGGAGAATTAAACATGATTAAATCCATGTCTCTCTCTTTGAAAGGGAAACCTCTATAGATAGGTATGCTACAAATAATGTCATCAGACGTGTAAGAAATATGCACAATGCTATGGGGGCTGAAGAAATAAGAAAGGATTGATTCTGTCCTACAGTAGGGGATGGAGTGGTGATATGATATATGAGCTAGACCTTGAAGAATATACATATATTTGCTCTGTAGTGAAGGGTAATGGGAGCATTCTGCTCTGCAAAATCACATAAGGGTTTCCAGTTTTCGTAGAATAGAGAAAGTTATTATAAAAGGACTAGACCCAGAATTCCCATAGAGGAATTCTATAACTCCAAAGATCATATACTCCTAATGCTACTTAAATTATTTCTGAGTATAGAAAAAAAAAGGCACAGATACTTTTATGAAACAAAAATTACATTGTCATCTAAACTTTATGAATATAGTACAAAAAATAAACTACAGCTCAATCTTATTAGGACTATAAAAGTAAAAATCTAAAATAACATACATTATGAACAAGTAATGTTTATTCCTAAAATGTAAGGGTGGTTCAATATCAGATAATCCACTCACATAATTTACCATGTTTGTAAATCTAAGTAGAAAATTGTAGAATCATCTTCATAGATGCTGAAATGGCCTTCGACAAAGGTTAACAACCATTCCTGATTAATACTGAATAAAATAGGAAATGATTATTTCTTCTTTGGTAATAATATATATCTATAACAAGAAAAACACAAACACACACATTGCAGTCCTAAAGCCAGTATATTTCTTGATGGAGGATGTTAGAAGCATTCACAGTAAGGCCAAGAACGAGGCAAAGATACTAACTCCACTACAAAATAAATTATTATTTTTTAAATATTTTTTATTTAAATTCAGTTGATTAACATATAATATATTATTGGTTTCAGAGGTACAGGCCCGTGATGACAGGTGCTCATTATATCACATGCTCTCCTTAATGTCCATCACCCAGTTATCCCCTCCCCTGACCCCCCTCCCCTCCAGCAACCCTCAGTTTGTTTTGTATGATTCAGAGTCTCTTATGGTTTAGAGGTACTAGCCAATGCAATCAGATTACAATAAACAATGGAGCCATAAGAATTGGAATAGAAGAAGTGAAACTATATTTACAGATGATATTGTAGTGTATTTGGGCAATCCAAGAGAATCAATAAAAACACTAACATAATGAAAAATGATTCTGTAAAGTGACGGAATGTTAAATTAAAAACAAAAACCAGAAGTCTTTATGTACATAAACAATAGCTAGTTAGATGATACCACAAGATAAATCTTCTGTTCCACTAGTAGCAAAAGCAGGATTTATTTAAGAATAAACTTAGCAGGAAGTGTGTTAAAGGTGTGTGAGGAAAAATTAAAATACCTTTGAAAGATACAAAAGTAAATTTGAATAAATTTGGGGATCTTGTTTATTTTGTTTTTTGGATAGCAGGAGTAAACATTATAAAGCTATCATTTATTCGCATCTTAATAATAAATTTAATATTATCCCAATAAAAATAGCATAAAGTTGTTTTTTGGAGCTATTCAAGTAGATTTTGAAGTTTATTTGGAAGCAAACATAAACATAAAACATAGCTACAATATCCTGGGGCGCCTGGGTGGCTCAGTTGGTTGGGCAACTGCCAATGGCTCAGGTCATGATCCTGGGGTTCTGGGATCGAGCCCCGCATAGGGCTCCTTGCTCCTCGGGGAGCCTGTGTCTCCCTCTGCCTGCCACCCCCCCTGCTTGTGCTCTCTCTCTCTCTGTCAAATAAATAAATAAAATCTTAAAAAAAAAAAAAAGAGAGTGAGCTTTTCTGTTCCCTTCAACTAGAAAAGGAGCCTAGTGAACATATTGAAATTTGAAATACAATTTAGAGTACTAATCCTACAAATAATATTTTTATAGTTTGCAGCATCTGCCATAGCTATAGATACGATGACTAGACTGATGGTCTCTTTAGTTCTTCTAATGGGGGTGGGGAGACTCTGTCCCCCATAGGATTTGAAGTGCACTTCGTTAGACTTGGAATTATCCTTTAAGATAACCTGGGATCCATGCATGGGATTCAGAGGTTCTGTGAAAACATTGAAATTGCACACAACATCCTGTGTATTTGTAAGCATATCTATTTTTCTGCATAGTCCATAGTTTACATTAGACATTCCACATAATAATGAGCCCCTAAGGGTTAAAAACACCATTGCCTTATTTTACAGATAAAAACATTACTCAGAGTTACTTGCCTACAATCATACAAGTTGTGATTGCTAGAAACTAGGTCTCTTTCTTTCATTAAAAATTTATAAAATACAGAAAAAAGGGGGAGAAATTACCAATGATTTCACCAGGTAAAGACAGACAACTTTAAGAATTTTCTACTTCCTACCAGAAATATGTATTTAGGCTCAGAATCACACTTTTGAAAACTACGTATTGATATATTGCTTCCTCTTAGACTTGTACTAAATTCTACTCACACCAGCAGTCTAGAATAATGTCTATTATATTCACCAGAACAAGTGATTCTTTAAAAAAAAAAAAAAATCTTGCCTACAGGAGAACAATAGTGTCTTATTGTTTCAGTGTACATTTCCTAATTATCAGTGAAGTAAAAGATTATATTTGTTCATTCCGGTTGGAAATCTATCTCTCATCCTTCTTGCCCATTTTAGTCAGGAATCCAGTTCTCCCAGCTGTTCACCCTCTTCCCATTTAGAAATTCTACCCCAGGAGGAAACTATAGGAGAAACCTATCTTCTGTTTTTCACCTGGACTTGTTCCTACATCCTCAGTAGGCTCTACCCAATATCTACAGAACCCTAATATCCAGATATGGAATGTGAGGAATTTGCACTTTCTACATGCAAGCACTTGGTATTTCTTAAGAATAATAAAAAAAATTTTTTAAGATTTATTTATTTGAAAGAGAGAGAATGAGAGAGAGAGAGCACATGCGAGGGGGGAGGGTCAGAGGGAGAAGCAGACTCCCTGCTGAGCAAGGAGCCTGATGTGGGACTCAATCCTGGGACTCCAGGATCATGACCTGAGCCGAAGGCGGTCGCTTAACCAACTGAGCCACCCAGGTGCCCCAAGAATAATAAAATTTGAGAACCACTTACATACAGGTCATGTGAGCTGATTTAAATATGAAGAGTGTGGACCATTATGATTCTTACTAACAGCTCTATGTCATTGTGAAACCAAGGTTCTCTCCCTTCTGTGAAGTAGTTTTGCCCTCATAATCTGAACCACAAAATTTACTTTCTGACTTGGAGTTTATAAACTAGATATAAAATTGCAACTTTTCCATTGATCAGCTTTTGTGAATATCACTTCATTTCTCTGAACCTCTGTTTCTTCATCTGAAAAGAGGTGATTATTATCCTAGCTCAATCTTACTGTTTATTTTGAAGGGTGAGCTCATCTGTAGAGGTATACTTTAGACAGTCATGTAAATATTGGATATATTGATTTGTTCTAATTGTTTACTGTGTGATAACTTTGGGCACGATGTCAACACTTGATAACTATCTGGTGATTGATTACTATCTTATTGTTCAGCAAAGATTGCTCTTATATGAGGTGGTGTTCCGTGTGGCCTGGGCTCTGATCTGTCATAATGGATACTCCTTAACTCCTGTGCAGGCTGAAAATCAGCCATGCTCTCTCAATCCTTAAAACTGTAATGAGTCAGTCAGTTCATATTCACTGAGAACCTACTGTGTGCCAGGAACCAGACTAGACACTGTGATACATTAGTGAGCATAAAGGACATGCCCCATTCCTCCTCTAGATAAAATGGGCTAAGTATCATAGAACAATTAGACCCCATATCTTTTAGCCAATTGCTTGAAGAAATACCATAAAATATGTGGAAGACATCCCTCTGGGGTGTTATGAAATGATACAACAAGAAAAATTTAAAAGGTAAATGAAGAGAAGGATCAAAGGTAGCTATTGGGGTGCCTGGGTGGCTCAGTCATTAGGCACCTGCCTTCGGCTCAGGTCATGATCCCAGGGTCCTGGGATCAAGCCCCGCATCGGGCTCCCTGCTCGGCGGGAAGCCTGCTTCTCCCTCTCCTGCTCCCCCTGCTTGTGTTCCCTCTCTCACTGTGTCTCTCTCTGTCAAATAAATAAATAAAATCTTAAAAAAAAAAAAAAAAAGGTAGCTATTGACTCCAGAAGAATGGAATGAATGTGAGCTTTTCCTTTTTTTTTTTCCTTAAAGATTTTATTTATTTATTTATTTATTTATTTATTTATTTGAGAGAGAGTGAGTGAGAGGGAGAAAGAATCTGAAGCAGACTCTGCACTGAGCACAGAGCCGGACGTTGGGCTAGATCCCACAGCTGCAAGATCATGACCTAAGCCAGAACCAAGAGTTGGACACTTAACTGACTGAGCCACCCAGGTGCCCCAAGCTTTTCCTTTTTTTAATTAAGCCCAGAGTTAGAAAGTGGAGGAGGGACAGTAAAGTCTCTTCCAGACCAAGAAGGCACTTTGAGACCAACAAACGAAGCAAGCTACTCTATATACCATTTACACAGAGTTTTATTCAGGGTAACTTACTGACAGTGGGGATCAGGTAGATAATGATCCAGGTGCCACACTGCTATTCTCCACCACGTCCAGATCTTAACACATGGATTTTATAGAGCAAAGGGCAGTTATCTAAAGTGGCGCCATTTGTGCATCAGCGGGGAGATCCGAAAAAGCCTTCCTGCATTCTGGTCAGAGCATAGGTCAACCTCCATGGGGCCGGGAACACACAGCCCCGAGGGTGGTCATTGTGTGGGCATGAACAAGATGGAGAGCCAAAGATGGAGTCAGTATTGTCAGCTGACACCAGCTGACTAGTGTAGGACTGGTGTCCTACACCAGTCAAACCAGTTTGGAAACTGGCAGGAGAGTTGAATGAGTTATGCAGCTGGGCGCTCAGACGCCACGAAATCTCTGAAACACCACCTGCCGATAGTAGTTCTGGTTTGGGCGATTCTGAGACCCCAAACTAAAAGAATTTTATTCTTTTTTAGTAGGTGTAGTCCTTTCTTAATTTCAACTCATTAAAAAAAAATGCTTTGTGTTTAGGGCAGTGAAAGGAGAGCTGACATCACAATATTTTGCATCAAAAAAGATGACAGTGTAAAACAACTTTTAGCAGACAGTGTTTTTGAAAGCAACTTGTAAAGTATTTACCAGATCCTACATTTGCACATTTTGCAGACTTGGGCATATATATTCTACTCTCAAAATAGTTTTGTTATTATGCACAAATAAAACAACATGGGAGCTTTTTAATAAAGAAATTGCATTTCTAATGATCTGTATTTGCATATGATAAATCTCCAGTCATTATCACACTCTAAAATATTAACATCATCAAATATCCAGTTGGGTTCAAATAGCCAAATGTCATTTTTTTTTACACTTTGTTTGGTTCAGGACCCAAATATGTTTTTTAAAGGAGTAATAAAAATTTTGGCAGTTGCTAAATATCTAGACTTCTACAAATTCTGATTCTTATGTATTAGTTTTTCCTAAAGTACAATAATAATCGTATCATAAAGAAGTTATATATTCAGTCATTTGGGTAGCATTATTAAGTATCTTTCTTTTGGTAATTGAATACAATTTTTTTTTCTGTCTCTGCCACTAAATAAAGGTATGACCTTGGGCCATTCACTCAACCTAGTCAAGAAATCAGTTTCCATCATTGTTTTCCACCATTCCATTCATTTCCATGAATTGACTAGTCAACATTCTTTTATCGAGAGCCTAGCAGGTGGGAGGCAGGACAGCACATGACAAAGAAGAGCTTTGACATCCTGCAGCTCTGGACTGGAGCCCTGCCACATACAGGCCATTGAGCTAGGTTTAACCTCTCTTGCCTCAGTTTCCAAATCTGTGAAATGCAGAGAATAGTTACCCATACCCAGAAAGTTTTTCATGTGTGCACATAATGATGGGGTATGGGGAAAGGTGGATAAATTGAGAAATTATGGTTATAGTGCTTGACACATAGTAATCCAACAATAAATAGTAAATAGAGTTAGACTGTCAACCGTTTGGGACAGGGTTGAGGGGATGAGGCCAGAAGGAAAGGCAATGGCAATGGTTCGAACTACCTCGTCTAATGAAATGGCCCTTAGCCACACATGGCTACTGAGCACTTGAAAGGTGGCTAGTCCAAATTGAGATGTGTTGTAAGTAAGTACTCTAGGTTTCTAAGATGGAGTATGAACAAAACCCATAAAATATCTCATTAATAATTTTTAATCTTTAGTATGCATTGAAATTATAATATGTTGGATATACTGGGCTAAATAAAATATGTTATTAAAACAGCACTATGTACACTCCCCAACCAGAGCTCCCTGTATTGTAGCTATCTGTTTATTCATCATTCTTGTGTTTAGCTCAGTGGTCCTCAAAGTGTGGTCATAGAAACAGAAGACCCAGCATCCCCCTGGGATCTTGTCAGAAACACAAATTTCTGGGTCCCACCTCAGACCTACTGAATCAGAAACTCTGGGACTGCGGCCCAGAAATCTGTATTTTAACAGGCCCTCAAGGTGAGTCTGATACTTATCCATTTGAGAAACACTGCTACACTGAGTTTCTGGGCTTGGGACCACATCCAGTTCACTCTGCATTGCCACTCAGCCCAGTGATTATTTGTCAAATGAAAAAAATGGATGAATGAATCCTGATGACTGTGGGGCCATAGGAGGATATCCAGCAGGGGAATGTCATGGTCTGATTACCTTTTAGAAAGTTACTTTTGCAAGCTGTGTAGAGTATAGATTATAGGAAGAAGTTACTAGAGGCAACTGAATTTGCCTATTGGAAAATTATTATTTGAAAAATCTAAATATATTATTCAGGTGGAAAAACAGGTAATTATTTTCAAAAATTATGCCTTGCTTTTCAAAGTATTTCTTTTAAAATAACTTTAAAATGTGTAATTCTATTTATATATAGTGTTTTGTAAATTTGGGGGGAAAGTAGACATACCTATATGTAAAATTTGTCAATAAATATGTTCTCCCACGAATTATGATTTCATTTTTTTAAAGAATAGCTACAAATGTCTTACACATATTAGTATTTGTGTGTTTTCTAAGGATGTATCACAATCCTGTTTAGATTATAAAAGTGAAATTTTATAGCAAGTGAATATATTTAAAATTATTTAAATTTTAATATTAACATAGAAATAAAAATAATTTCATGTTTGACTGTATATTAGTATAGAGACTATATATTATTTATCTTATTTTAGATTGAATTGAAATGAAGCAGTCATCTAGAAATATTTCAACTAGAGGCTATTAATGCTCAAATTAAAAGAAAAACAAATTGATATTGATATATAGAATAAAGAGTAAAGCAATCCCAAAGACACATGACCCTTAGGAAAATTTTAAGGCTGCAGAAGCACCAATGTTGTTCCCTATCACATACTCATCTTCCATCAGCAGATTCTTTTATCCCCACAGTTGGGAAGAAATTCAACCAACTTAAATGTGGGCACAATAGTTGGACCTTCAACTCAGGTAAAACTTTCACATATTCTCTTGACCTCTAAATAATCTTCTCTACAAATCAATGTTTCCATATTGGTTCCACCACTTGGAAGACACTGTGAGTTGTCTACCTTGTAGTAGACCCTGCTCCCCTTTTTCCTTCCTTGCTAATAATCGCTAATAATTCTTATTTTATAGCAGTAGGTGCCGAGCCCTGGGAGCAGCGTCCCAATGTTCTAAACCCATCATGGTAGACCCCTTTACTCTTTGTCTGCAGTTGTTCAGGAAGTGAGGACATGACCCCAAGTGATGGTCAATGAGACATATTGGGACATCTGATGAGGGTTTCTGGGAAGTTTTTATTCTCTAGTAAGAGAAAGAGAGCTGTGAGAAGGTCTCATCCTTTTATTTCTTCTCTTAAAAAGGATTGTGTCAGCCATCATGAAACGACAAGGCTATCCAGGTCTTAAAGAAATATTGAGGTGTTAAGGGTACAAACTTGCAGCTAGTAGTAAGTCCTAGATATCGAATGCACAGGATAGAGAATATAGACAACAATATCGTATTATAATCATCAAACTTGCTAACAGACTAGATCTTAATTGTTTCAACCGCAAAAAAGAAATAATTATGAGACAGGATGAAGTGCTAACTATCACTACAATGGCACTCATATTATAGTATATAAATGTATCAAATCAACATGTTGTACACCTTAAATTTACACAAATTATATGTCAAATATACTTCAACTAAAAATAATAAAATAAAATAAATGAATAAATAAAAGAATGAGGCTACGAAGAGACTAAGGGTCATGAGGGAGGGGCGATTATGCAACCTGGAGTGGGAGATCCTGAAGGGCAAAGGGGGGATGAGAATGATGGGTAGAGGGAGAAGAGACTTGGCAAAGGGGAGACTACAGACAAAGAGTAGGAGGGGCTAGGGATGGGATGGGTGTGGGCAGGGTGGGGGCCTGGGATTCTGAAGGTGCTAGAACCCTTTAGTGCTGATTTCCTCCGGTTCTCTTAGGCCAGACAATCCACCCATTTTTAGATAGTTGAAAGAAGTAAGTTCTTGGTAAGTCTGTAAACTTGGTCCATTCATCCAAATGGCTGTGGTGTGCTCTATGCTCTCTTCTCTTCTTGCATCTAGTGGGAGGCTCTTCTGTACCCAGGCCAATTAAAAGATTTGGTAAATTTGGTGAATTGGTCATTCAGAGAAAATGAATAATGCTGAAGTGTTAAAGTGTTGACCAAACAAGAAGACTTTTAAAAAGATAGAAAGGGAAAAGAATAAACTGGGAAATTTCCATGTGAAATGCTGACATTTTTATTATATTCATAAGAATATATTTCAAAAGATGAATAGTGAGGTTCAGACATTTTCAATTGTTTATTGGCTTTTTAAATGTTTATTCATGTGAACCGCCTATTTATATACTTTGTCCATTTTTCTCTTGGTTTGTTTGTCTTTTTTTATTTGTATGTGCTTATGTATTGTGGATATCAATCCTTTGCTCATAATATATATTGCAAATATTTTCTCCCATTTTACTTCTTGGCATTTAAGCCTTTAATCCATTTCAAGTTTATTTTGGTGTCTGGTACAAGACTGGAATCTAATGGGATTTTTCTGTCTAGAAGTTAGACAATTTTCACAACACTGTTTGTTGAGTAATCCATCTGGTCCCCATTAATCTGCAGTGCTTCCTTCAAAAGTCTCATTTGTGTCAGAGGCCATTTTAGGACTGTCTATTGTGTTTCAGTCAGTTGCTCTGTAAATTCTTGCACACAGGTTTAGTTATTACTGTCTTATTATGTACTTTTTTGTTCACGCTTTTCAAAATTTCTCAGTTGTTCTCCTATTTTGACTACTATGATAGCTGCGATTTAAGGTCATTTTGTCAAATTAAATTGTAAACTTTTAGTGTGTAGGGAGTGTGTTGTGGTAGATGAAAGATAAGTGATAGGGATTTTTGTACTGCATTAATCCTCGGTGCAAATGTGGACCATGCCAGGCTTTCCAGTCAGAAAAGCTCTCATTGTGGACTTGGAAGTCCTTCCCACCCCCTGGGTCTCCAAGCAAAACAAAGCGAGCCAACACTATTGAGGGCTCATCCATCGTCTTTTGTTTGTCAGGCTTGTTACCAACAACCATGTGAAAAAGCCCAGGCTCTTGGTGCTCACGCCTGTGTTCTCCACAGCGTGTTTTGCAGAATCTTCTTATATGTGTCATCCTCTTCTACACCATGTACTATGCAGTTCTGAGCATGTGCTGCATGATGTTCAAGTAAGTTGCCTTCAAGCAAAATTAAAAAGCTAAGAGTGAATATGAAAGGAGTTTATATTTGATACTTGACATGCCTTTATGGAATAGAGGATGCAATGTTTTAAAAATGGTGTATTTTTGTACCTTTTTAAAGGAAAGACAGCAAATGTGCCATCTTTGAAAATGATCAAAGCAACAATCATGAAATGATGTGGATAGATAGGACCAGACAGGACCGTTCTCTTACTTCTTCGGAAGATGGTGATGGAAAAAAAATGAAGCTCTTACTCCCTGGGCTGATATTGAAGCAGAGCAAATTTGAATTATAAGGGAATTTAGAGATAATCTATATCAAATTTAAATATTTTCTGATATGTACTTGAAATATCTCTTGGACCCAAGTCAGGAGACCTAACTTCTGGCCCAGGTTCTTACTAACTTTCTGGGAACATCTTAACCAAGCCATAGAGCTTCTCTTCATTGTCCTCATTTGTCAAATGGAAGTAATTGATCAAAAGAGGGTTATTATGAGGACGAAGTAAAATGTGTATTTTCAGTGATATTTCTATGTAAGTGTGAGGCATTTTTTTTTCAGGTAATTTTTTTGTCTGGCTATGGTTGACTTTTGCCTCTACAAATTTAGGTCGCCAATACATTGATTGCCTTGAAATACATCATGAAGATTTACAAATAATTTCTAAGAAGTCGAGTGTTGATATAATTTAATTTTATTGTGCAAGTGAGGAGTTAGGACCCTTTGATTTCAATATGCAAATTAGTAACCAAAAATAATTATCCCAACTTTTGCAATGGGAAGAATGTTATTCAGCATGCTTGCAGGCAAACCCACTGAGGAAGCATCTGCTGCTCACACACAATCTCAGCTGTTCCTGGGACTGGAGATGGTGAGGCCATGCCTGGAGCAGGGAAGAGCTAAGAATCTTCAGGGCTGATTTCAGGGATTTGTAGTTAATGTGAGTCAGAGGAGAGGAATTTTAAGTTCTTGGGCCTTAAAGCTCCAGGAGGCAGCTAACTGATGGACCAGCGGCACACAACTACGAACAGGCACAGTAGAGGGTGTGTATTTATAGACTCAGATTTTACAACAGGAAGAGAGCCGAGAGATTAACCTTTTCAATTTACAAAAAAGACACTGAAGTTCAGCTCCAAATGGAACTGACTTGCCCAAATTCACAGTTTCCCAACACCATCAGGTTTGGAACCTGGGTCTGGTTTATTTCTGTGCGGATGCTCTTGCCACAGGATTAGGTTGCGTTCTCCTCCCACGTTTGATGGAAAGGACTTTCAAGATGACAGCTAAGGGCTAAAACACAATGAAGTCCACTTGGGGGACTTAACTGGACAAATAAGACAATGTGGATAAAAAGATTATTTGGCTGCCAGGCAAGTCAGCCAGCTTCTAAATGTGCCACAATGTGGGAAAAGCTAATGACTTACCATGTGAAAAGCGATAATATTCAAAGCCTTGATGTGCGAAGTTATGAACTGCCTCCCCCGGAGTAAACTATTTTCATTTGCAACATCTTCAGGGTGTATGAGTTGGATGTCCTGGCACCATTTGATTTCAAAACAAACCCCTCATGGCTCAACACAAATAATAAAGGTAATTGGTTTTAATTTCCAACTTTGTCAATTAGTGAGTTAAATGCCTCAAAAAACAAAATAGTTTTTGTTTTATAAAAATTTACAACATATCAGGCCTTCCTCTCAGCCATCTGTATCTTATATCAGACTTCAAAAATTAATGTGGAAAAATGCCATCACAAATTTTAAAGTGGCTATTCGTGAAAGATGGGATAGAATGGAACAGTGGAAAAATTGAATAGAATTATTATATATTATATATATATATTTATTTGGTGATCTTGTAGGTAAATTTTTTGCACATTAAATATTTTTCAAAGATGAGGAAGAAGACTGATTTAATATATTAATGTAGAGAAATTCTCATGAGATATAGCATGGAAAATGAAGATGACAATTGTGTTTGTGTAGTGTAATTATTCATTTTTGTAGAACAGAGTAAAATACATGGTGTCAGTGGTAAGAAATCTGGAGAATTATGCAACAAACTGTTCTCTCCCAGCTGGGATGACAGAGGACTTTCATTTTCTGCTTTGTACATTTCTGCTTAGTTTGATTTTTCTTTCGAAAATAGGAAAAAAAAAAAAAAATGTTCCAAAGGAAAAGTAATATGTGAGAGTACACTAAGAAAAAATTTATCTCTTTTAAATTCATAATTTTGGTTGAAAAAATAATTATTAATTAATATCTACTACATTCATTAGCCTTATGTATGTTAATAATAACAGCTACTTGTATTGAATATATGTCAAACATACTTGTTTTGGGGGGATTTGTGGTGAGTTCATCTCATCTTTAGAAAAATGAGATTTTAATGTTATTTTCATTATAAAATAATACACATAAATTAATGAAAGCTTATAAAATACCTATAAGTAGGGAGGAGAAAAAGAAGAAATTCAATCACAAACTTACTTTCTAAACATAATTATTCTCAACAGTCTGTTAAATTTCTTCCTACTCTTTTTTTTTTTTTAATAAATTGTGGATTTTTTAAACGTTACAATTCGTTAGAAAACCACTGGACATGTTTTTTTTGGAACAAATATGCAAATATACAAAAATTGCCTCAAGCCAGAAAAACCAGATTTTTGAATATGACTTGTACAGGAAACATGGTCAGTCAAAATTACGGAATTCAAATTAAAAAGCTTTAGAACAACCCCCTCAAATGGGTAACCTTGTTTGGTGCTATTATCGACTCAATTTTGGGTAGACAAAGAATATGTTAGGAAAAAGAGACTTTCATTCTAATGAGACACAAGAGGTCCAACAATCTATCTTAACTTTCTCTTTATGTGCTTTCCTATTGAAGATAGAATTAACTTATTTTCTATCAAAACTGTCCACAATTGATAAGGAAATAGTCACAGTAAAGAATTAAGTAAGGGCAGTATGTGTGTTTTTTGGGAGGGTATTTAAAACTCAACTGTTACTATTTAATTCTTGCCTTTGGGTTAGTCAATGAAAGATAGGAATGACACAGCTTATTGGAGAGGCTGTGTTTTTACATAGTGGAGATTAGTGAAGATCCCCAGGAAGCCTGGCACAGTTTATATCATTCTCTCCTCTCACAAAACACTAACATTGTACAAAGATATCAATAAAACCTTAGCCTATTAGATCTTTAATTTTGGGCTTGAGGAGATAACTGCCATAACTCTTCAAAGTTGTTACTTTGAGAATTTAGACTTTAATCTTGGAGATAAAGTATAAGAGTAATCTCAGAGCCGTGGGCATGTAGTTAAGGTCAAGTTTCTTGTCTGTTTCAATGATTTTTGTCACCCAGGAGAGTAGGTTTAGCAAGGACACTGGAAAGTTTAAGCCTAGTTAAAACATTTTGATTACTAATATCTTTCTTTTGCATAGCAGAAAATAGATTACAAATTGCTTTCATTTTAAATTAAAATCCTCCCAACAATTTCTTGAGGTAGATAAGATAGCACTCCATTTCCCAGTTATAGAGAAAAAAGCAAGACTGACCCAGAGGTTAAAATTGTACTCAAGGTTTTATAACTCCTAAGCTCTAAGGCAAGACTATAACACTGGTATCCTGACTTTAAATTTTGTACTACTTCTTTTAAATCATGCTTTCTTTCATATTATAAGCAAAGCATAAGCCTTTTTTTTTTTATCAATATAGGCAAATACAACTTGTTCAAGACTAAAATCAATGTCTCCAAGCAGCTGCAAGTTAACCTATAAAATCTGTCAATGCTGATAAAAGAGGCATCTTTTATTTCGCTAGAATAATCTGGAGGCTCTGAGAGCCACTGACAGAGGTAGAGGTGGACATGTGGTGAGAAGAGGTGGGGTCAGTGTGATACAGCAATGCAGTTCCTTCCACAGCCTCGATTTTAGGGAACAGGACATGCTGAACTGAACTTTGTTCCCATATGATAAAAAAAGGAGTTGGTATGAATTCGCCCTTCAACTTTTTGAAACCCGGTAAGTGAAATTAAACCAAATTGAGGAGGAGAAAGTATAAGGCCTTTCAAAAGAATGGCACTTGGGACTTGCTCACTTGGTTAGTGCCTTGTTCAGCATGAGACAATCACTGGCTTGCTGGTTAATAAATTACCTCTGCATGATATGATATAATGTGATTATTTTACATTTTGCTTTGAAAAATGGAGAGTTTGCCTGTCTAGAGTCATTGACTCCCGAATTTTAAGAACATACTAATCATTTGCTGAGTTTTTGTTTAAAAAGAAATGAAAGGTAATGTTTACAGAAAGTGATATCTTTACAAAGGGACCTTGATGGTATGTCACATGTATTTGTCACATATGTTTGACGGATCTCTCCTTCGAAACCACTGTAGTCTTAAAGATCCACATCAAAGACAAGAGGCAAAAGGTTGACCCTTCACACGTTCAAGGCTTTTAGAGATTTGTGGTCCTGACCTGTAAGTAACTAGCTCCTTATACATGTTTGGGGAGACCACTCTGAGACAACGGGGTGGTTTAGAAGAGTGCCTCCATCCACACAAGTCCTTTCATCCATTGTTACCAGTTATGTGTCCCAGATGACTATCTGAACATGCCATTTTATTATAAAGTCACGAAGGAACTCATTTCCAAGTAAGGCAATAACTGGGACCAGAGAAATATTATAAGTCATTGAACTCTTACATTTCTTTTTTTCATTTCTGAAAACTCAGAACTGAATTTTTCATTAGTTTTTAATATATCTTAAACAGAGAGTTGCAATCCAATTACAGATCAGCAGGTATTGGTTACAGGGTAACTTTTCCTTATTGTATTTTACTTTTAAAGTGACAAGTACAAAGAATGTGAAACAAATTATATACTGTTATTAGAGACAGAATATGTTAAAAAGTTCTCATCCAAATTTGGAAATTGTTAAGAGATGGGATATTTTGAAAATTCTTACCAAAATTTCTTCGCAGAGTAAGTTGTAATGGTCCTGTTACTAATTGTGTTTCAAAACTGTTAGTTTCTCTAGTTCCAAATAACTATATTCTTCATTCTATTTGCAGTTCTTCTAGTCTCAACACAGGTCACCTACTTTGTTTGCGGATTGCTTTTCATTCTGGTTGTAGAAGAATGGGTCTGGGATTATGCTATTTCAGTCACTATTCTTCATGTTGTCATCACTTCCACTGGTAAGCAAAATAAAATAAACAAAGAAAATATATTAAATCTGAGTTTGTACCTAAATTGCTTCACAAGAGTAAAACTTTGTTATATGCATATTGTCCTCTGATGGCTTAAGCATAAAAACTGATGATGCTAGTTCTCCTTCCCTCCCCTCACTTCTCCTCCCCCACTAAGTTCTTCTACCACTTCCTGGGAGGGGTTTTGATTGGCTACATCTTCTGATTCAAAACTACTGAATGTAGATGTTTCTTACTCTCCTGTCATGTTCAACTTGTCATCAGCTTGTAAAGGGTTTGCCTCCATTCAGAATACTCTTCTTCCAAAACCCTTTCTTGAGGTGGAAATTGAACAAAGGCTAGGAACAGGGCCCTGAGGAAACCCATCCTGGCAGGCTTGCAAACTTCCCCATAATAGTTATTCTACCAAGAATACCACATTCTTAAACTAAGGGGTTCTGTTTCTACCTGTGATCTTTGGAGTCAAAAGAAAATGAATTCAAATTCCAGTTCTACCTTTTTAATTAGGTGTGTAGTCTTAAGGGAAATCACAACATCATACACATTAGTTGCCTCCTCTATGGAGCAGGGAGACCTAAGGACCTTTTGATGAGAATGAGAAATTGTCTGACATAGTGGCTAAGCATATAATAATTACTCAGTAAATGACAGTTTCATCCGTTCTTTCATTCATCCATTCAAAATTTACTCCTCTATTATAACTTTTCTCCTTTCCCATCTTCCATTATTAAAAAAAAAATACTAGTCAAAGAATGGGTGGGAATCAACCACAAGTTATAATACAAAGTTATTATTATTTATTAACAACTTAAACTACTCTTATTTTTTTTTCAGTGCTGTGATCTTTGTCAGTCTCCAATTTAAGAATACACAATTTCCAAAGGAATTGTTACATCCTAGCGTCACTGTTATTAGAGAATGCTAGTATATCAGTCTCCTTGTCTCCAGACACATGCCCTCCCTTAGTAACTTTCAGAACCACTAAACCCCATATCTCAAATTCTCAATTTTACTTTGGGGCTAAGTTTACATGGAAGACAGCCATGGGAGAGTTGCAAAAGGGCTCTGGGTCATAGGGTGGCTGAATCTTCAAGGTTGAGATAAGCAATATGTACCAGACCCAGAAAAGTTACAGGGTAATTGTCTAACACATGGCACATAGAAAATACTTAAGAAAATACTTTAAGTTGAATAGAATTGAGTTCAGGGTGCAGTGGCTCAGAACTCCAGAGAAAGTCAGGTATCAAGGATTCGGGATGGCCTTAGGACCATCTGTTACATAACACTCAAATCAATTCTGTGAGCTGACCCAGGAAACTGACAGTTCATAACATGTTTCCTAGAAGAGGAGTTTCAGGTATCTGACTTAATAAATGACTTTGTAAACTATGATCTAAGTACAGCTTTGGGGCTACCTGATTTCATGAATGTGAATAAAATTTCTCTTTGTCATGTGGATATGATCTGACCAAACAGAAGTATTTCTTCATGTGGAAAAAATAATGCGTATTTTTAAAATGAACAACACCACTTTTTTTTTTCTTTTTCAGTTATGTTGGAGTTCCCCTTGACATCACATTGGTGGGCTGCTTTAGGTATATATGCATGATACCCAAATATATTATACACATATGTTTATGTATCATGTTCAACATAAATACTTATATATAAAGTGGGGTCATCAAAATATTTTTTATGTGGGTCAGGTAATTGGACTAGAAGACTGCTCAAAGGGTTCATCACTCTAAAACTGCATGGAATAAAACACTGGATATATATTTGTGACATATTCTTTTGGTTCTCTTTCAACATGAATGGCATTACTATTTTTATAGTAGCATTATTTCATTTACTTTTTTCTTCCCACAAATGGAACAACTGAATTCATCAATTTTACATCTAGTAAGAAAACTAACCCAGTTAAAGCGGACTTTTCTAAAGCTTTTTCTTTAGCTTAAGCTAGGTATTGACTACAAATATTTTTACATTTCCCCTTTTCAGTAAATTTGGCAATAATTTTTATTTAAGTATTGTCATGCTTAATGATGAGAAATGGAAATGCAGCATTTCACCACATTGTTTTCCCCAAAGCCAAATTATCTGTTTATAGTATCAGTATTATTTATATTACCATTAGCTCCCTTCATTACAGGTTAATTTTCCACTTCCCTTACATATCCGTAAGTCTTAGTGTGTACTCTTTTCTAATATTGTTTGGTTCATACAGAAAACACATGTAGAAAGTACTGATATTTTATTTTGAATGACACTTTTCAAAAATGCACATTTTTAATGAATCAGAAAGAAGATACCTGAAAGATGTGCTATCAGTATAAGTAGAAATGATCTTTTCTCTCTATGAAAAACAACAACTTGGGCGCCTGGGTGGCTCAGTTGGTTAAGCGACTGCCTTCGGCTCAGGTCATGATCCTAGAGTCCCGGGATCGAGTCCCGCATCGGGCTCCCTGCTCGGCAGGGAGTCTGGTTCTCCCTCTGACCCTCCCCCCTCTCATGCTCTCTCTATCTCATTCTCTCTCAAATGAATAAATAAAATCTTTAAAAAAAAAAAAAAGAAAGAAAAACAACAACGTATCCCTTGGATTTTCTTCACAATACCACAAAATTTACTAAGCCCTAGGCAATTCAGTCACATAGCCCATGCCACCTCGATGACAAGGAGAGTCAGGGTTGGCATCCTGGAATGGCCAAAAGAATTTGCTAAAATAGTTGGGTCACTATTTCAATTTCAAGAACTAGGGTTGGATTACGCAGAGAACGGTTGCCAAATGATGTTTGAGGTAACTTTCTTTGATTTTTCTTTGAGTTAAAAAACTTAGACACAAAATAGTAGTGGCTAAACATCTTGGAAATTCTATCTCATGGTTTCGCACTGGTTGTGCGTCTTTGTGTGAGGAAGTTGTGCGGTCCTGCCAAGCCTCTGATCCACTAAGGGCTCTTACCTCAGGGACTTTTACCTTTCATGAGAGTTACACTGTTATCGTCATACAAGGAATAACAGATTTATGAAAGCCCTGTTAGGCTAGATTAACATTTTAAAACGAACAAGAATCTTGGGCCAATGAAAGAGCTAAAGGCATTTTCATATAACCAAATAGCTCAGGTAGGTAGACTTCTGTTTTCAAAATCTTTTCTACACTAAAAAATATTTTCCAAGTTAGAGGAGAGCATATTTTCCTTTTATAATTAGAGAGAAAATACCTTATAAAATATTTTTAAATAACAACAACACAAGACAAATGGCAGGTCTGAAGAGCTAAAAGAATTGAGAATTGTAAAATCCTTGGCATGTGCTTTGACTCCATTGCCTTTGAATTTCTGAGTTTTAAGAGAACCATGCATCTATTCCCTGAAGGAAGTTTTGAATTTCAACAATTTATCAGCACAGAATATATACCTACTGTTTCTTAGCTGAATCTATAAACTATCCTATTTCAAATGCTGTGTCAGTTTCAGGAACATTATTTTAGTTGTGACAATTGTTCTTATTCATAATCTCACCAATGAATTATTCATTATTGGTAGTTAACCAAAACTTCCCTTTCATTACTTGCAGGATCCGGCTTAATTTCAATGATATGTGGAGGCCAGGCTTTCGCATACTGTTTGTTCAAAGACAACTTTATCTATCCAGATCTGGATGAGTTTTAACAGAACAGCTGAATTAATTCGCCTCAGACTTTCTATATTATTATATACATTGTGTCGCAGCTAAATTGTATTTTTTTGTTCACACCGATATGCAAGGTTGAATTTATTCTAGATACTTTATAACCATAAAAAGAAAACGAGGTGTTAGTGGAGAGCAGAAGAATCCTAGGAAGGTATTCATGAGCAAAATGTTGCCAAACTCATAAAATGCATTGTTTACCAAAGTGTATTTGATAGAACGCTAGTTCTGTAGCATGTGAGTAGTACCACGCAAGGAAAAAAAGTTGCATGTTTAAGTATATTTGTGGATTCCTGGGTTTATGTAAAACAGACGTTTATTTTAGGACCTCTCAGAACCTTCAACGTACTACTGTGAACAGGGCATCTCAAAGCAGCAGTACAAATTATGCACCATTTTGCAGCTGTATTTGACCCAGGGACACACTTTAGAATATGCTGATGTATCATGTGGAAAGTATAACATAGGTGAGAGCGGAGTTAAAACTGTTACAAATCTCTATAAGCAGAATTAGATTCTATTACTGTTCCATAGTGTTGTTTCTTGTAAAATTATTGCCTTTTTAAAAATATTAGTGTCCATTTCCTTCCTTAGACTATGTTCTTCTAACATAGTGCTTCTCAAAATTTAGTATGCATTTTGAATCACCTGGAAAACTTGTTACAAGGCAGATTTTGGTTTAGAGGGGCTGGGATGAAGCCAAAGATTCTGTATATCTTTTTTTTTTTTTTTTTGAGATTTATTTATTTATTTTAGAAAGAGAGAGACAGAGCACAGGGCGAGGGGCAGAGGAAAAGGGAGAGAATCCTCAAGGCAACTCCTCACTAAGCATGGAGCCCAGTGCGGGGCTGAATCCCATGATGCTGAGATCATGACCTGAGCCAAAACCAAGAGCTGGGCGCGTAACTGACTGAGCCACCCAGGTGCCCCTAAAATTCTGTATATCTAAAAATTCCTGGAAAATGCCTGTCTGGTCCATGAACCACAGTTTGAGTAACAAGGTCTAAGTGGTTGGGACCAGATATTTTTTAAGGTTATATAGCTCTGTACTGCCAGTCCTATGTTTATTCAATAAATGTTTGTTGAATTAGATTAAAACTGAGGCGAGTTACACCTCCATAATTGTCTTAAATATTTACCACTTTTAAATGTAGTTAAAATACCTTTTAATATAAAAGAAGTGCATACCAAGGTTACAACTAAAATATAAATATAGGAAAAAGGATAGGAAAGTAACATTCACCACTTCCCCTCCATCCATATATTCCCACACACAAACATTTTTGGGAAACAATTAGAAACTAAATTAAACCAGCTCTGGAATTTTTTCCTAGATGACTCTTTTTACTCTAAAAATCTCTTTCTTTTGGGGTGCCTGGCTGGCTCATTCAGTGGAGCATGTGACTCTTGATCTTGAGGGTGTGGGCTCGAGCCCCATGTTGGGTGTAGGAATTACTTAAAAATAAAATCTTAAAAAAAAAAATCTATGTTTTCCATAAAGATTTGCATCCAACCACTAAGAAATGTCATGCTAATTATATGTATTTCAGGTAACCTTCCAAAAACTACTTTGTGTTGACCAGTTACTAGTTAGATAATTCAAACTTCTCATGCACATGTAAGTTTGAAAATAATGATACTCTCTTCCTTGCTTCTTTCTCACATGTACTTATTTCCACAAACTTTTGTCTTCCACCCATTATTCTCAATTTTCCCATTACTTTCCTCCAAAATATTTAGTCATGGAAGTAGCAAAATATGTAACTCACTAAATCAGTCAAAGGATTGTAAATTCCTATTATTAATAAAGACTTTGTGTCATCTTTAAAGGAAGGCAGCATAGGACAGCTATGAACAGGTCAGCATTATGATCTTTGATTCTCTAATTAAAACCCCACTGACAGCATACAGAAAAGAGTGTCTTGTTAGATATATAACAAAACTCAATCCTGCTGTATGAAAAATACAAATATCAAACAAATCACTGATGAGAAAGTTTGACCCTATAGAAACTCACACATGGAAGAGATTTACAGAAACATTAAAACTGCCTAAATAAGTTTGATAATTAAAAAAAGATTTGGTTGATTAAGTACTTTTTAATATACTGAGAATTAAGTTACACTAGTAAATTAGAATAACAATTTCTCCAGACTCAGAAGACCATAATATCTTGTCATTCTGTAGTGTAGCTTAATTAGCATGTTTATTTCTAGGATTAGGAATCCATCTGCTCAGGTAATTACTATTGTGTGAATCCTTCTCTTTATTTTTTTTTTCTCCTGATCACAAGAATAATCTGTGATTTTCTTCTCTTACTCATTAAAGTGATTATCATTATCTATTTGATGACACCATTTGGCACACAAAAATTAAAAATACAATTAGAGTACATATTTTAGCTTAAATATATTGTAAATCAAACATAGCAAATAATAATCACTTTAGCTTTTATTGCTTTGAACTGTATATTAACTCAAAGACCAAGAGTCATGCCCACTTAACATACTTTTCCAGTGTCCCTCACAGAATCATAAGAAGATGAAATCCTACCCAGTATTTTGATGCATATTTTTGAGGCAGGACTGAATTTACTTACATATTTTTTTAAAAGGTAATACTTTTATGTCATGCACAACCTTCCATTAATATCCCTTCCATTACTATACCATTGTGGTATAATGTAAATCAATTTGCATATTCCTTTAATAATGTTATTATTTCCCATATGAATGAAAAATATCTTTACTTTTGCTGACAATGATCCCAAAATATATATATAAGGACTATTTTCATAGCTCTAGTGTAAAGATTAGGCTCCTATCTACAATTTAATGGGCTTTATTAAGCCAATGTACCCCAGTAGCTGAATTGATAATTTCAAAAGCTGTTTGCTATCACTCTAAAGCAGTAGGGATTATTCTATAGACATGCAAACAGGGGCACCTGGGTGGCTCAAGTTGTTAATATCTAACTCTTGCTTTCAGCTCAGGTTCATGAGTTCAGTGTCATGATCTCAAGGGCATGAGATTGAGCTCCATGTCAGGCTCTGCACTGACCATGGAGCCTGCTTAAAATTCTCTCTCCCTCTGCCCTTCCCCTCCTCTTACCCTCTCCCTCTTAAATAAATAAGTAAGTAAGTAAGTAAATAAATAAATAAATAAATTCTTTTATTTAAAGGAAATGTTAACATATATACTACGAGATAGAGAATTTTATGACAAACATCCTAAGGAGAAACAAAGGCATTTCCTAAAATTGTTGCTCCATAAACTTTGTAAACCTGAATTGCTAGGCAAATAAGTCTATAACAAGAACATCCATAGATATGTTTGTGGTAAAAATCTCAGAAAAGGGAAGAAACACAATTTGGTTCATATGAAGATAATCTAATTCTTCTACAGAAATTTCCTACTGCAGAAAAAGGCCTCATAAAAGATGTAAAAATTTAAGAATGTTTCACATTTTTAATAGAGGACAATAAAGTTACAACTTTTCCAAGCATTATGCTTTACTTACCTTAGCGTTTCTTTTAGATTTTCTTTTATTCTATCTAAATGTTCTGGTAGTTCAGTAACAAGAGGACCAAAGCATCCTTAAAAACAGAGTTAATTACCAACTGACTCTCTTGATGAAGAATATTCACTCTCTCCCATATGACCAATAATTCAAATAGGAAGGAATTAAAAATATTACCCCAATAATTACCTTAAATTAAATATTTAATAATTTAATAATAATAATTTAATAATAATAATAAATAAAAATATTTAATAATTACCTTAAATTAAACCTGCACAAAGTATCAGTTTGTTAATCTAGCTGATATCATAGTTATTTAAAACCGAACTCATCTTACTATTCCTGTATATCTCTTATATATTAACACTCTTAGAAATTATCACTGTAATATATTATTTATTGTTCAAAATAGGAAAATATAAAAGTTTTGAAGAAGACAATAAAGATCATTCATAATCTCAATTTAGTATTTGTGTGTGTGTGTGTGTGTGTGTGCAATATAAGTGAATAAAAATTTATATAGCTATTTCTTTTTTTAAATTTTATTTAATTTGAGTTAGAGAGCGTGAGCAGGTTGGGGGTCAGGGGGGCAGAGGGAGAGGGAGAAGCAGACTCCCTGCTGAGCAGGGAGCCCGATGACGCAGGGCTAGATCCCAGGACCCTGAGATCATGAGCTGAGCTGAAGGCAGTTGCTTCACTGACTGAGCCACCCAGGTGCCCCAACAGCCATTTTTTTATTATTGATGCTTAAGTTCTTTATAATTCTCTCTTACATTAAGTAAATAGATACACCTTCACTTGCATTCACAGGTATTTCTTTAAAATGGGTCACTAGGAGTGAAATTATTAGGTCATATGGTATAAATGTCTTTGAATTACTGAAAAATATTTCCAAATTGCCATTCAGAAAGTTTGAACCTATTTATTCTCCCACCAAAAGCCCTATTTTACTAACTCCTCCAACACAAAAATTGTCATTTTTACACTATTAATATGTGTCTATTTTACTATACTCCTCCTACACAGTCCCTATTTTACTATAGTCTCTATTTTGCTATACTCTTCCAACCCCAAAATTTTCATGTTTACACTATTAGTATGTGTCTATTAAATGACATTTTTACAATGCATATCAATACCTCAGTTATTACAACAAAATGATTTCTGTCACTGAGACCTAAATTAAGATGGTCAGGAAGCCAATTCTAATTTAGAGGAACTTAATTTCATCCTACTTCTGGAGTGGCCTTTAACAACAAATATAGATCAAATGCCTACCTGGTACAGGACATCAGTTACGTGGCCATCTATCCTTTCATTCAACCAGCCCACAAATATTTTTGCTAAGTTCTGGGGCTGTCATGCCCGGCACTAGAAATGATCAAATGCAGCACAGGTAAAGCAACATACTTAGTACTTGTTATATCTTTAACTGTTGTTGGGTAGATGATGGGAGGTAATAGAAGAGATTTAATCTATTTGATGACAGGGTTATGGTTTGTTCAATGTCATATAGCCAGCTCCTAGAATAGAGTTTGGGATGTATCAGACACATCATGTGCAGATAAATATTTGTTAAATGAGAAGAAAAAAACAAGTTTATTTCAAATTAATTGCATGTTGGAAGACTCTGGGAACGTGTCCAACAATGGCACACCTGGGAGGTGACTGATCGTTGTACTGATCCAGCCAAAGTCTTTAGTGTCAAAAGGAAAAGACATGCACAGATTGCCCTTGGAGAAAGAGGATACCCAGTAGCAAGGGAATGAAATGTTTAAGCTGAACATAATTGGACACATTACACCTTCACAATACTCATGTTAGAGCAGACTCAGAAAAACAACATTTTCAACTCCCAAGGTATTGGTGAGTAATGTGTATTTTATACAAGATTTTGGGGGGCAGATGGAGAAGAGGGTTATATTTCACTCACCATAGTGCACTTACTCATCTCCTCTTTAGACATCCTGGCTTTCTTCCCTATCTGCTGCCAATGACCATGTCTCTCTCTGCTTCCTCACCTTCTCTCCACATAGCCTCTAAAAATGCCCGATATGCCAGTCAGGTTCTGACCACAGTGAATATATATCAGTAACCAAAATAAAATCTTTTTTTTTTTTATTCTTATGTTAATCCCCATACATTACATCATTAGTTTTAGATGAAGTGTTCCATGATTCATTGTTTGTGCATAACACCCAGTGTTCCATGCAGAACGTGCCCTCCTCAATACCCACCACCGGCTAACCCATCCTCCCACACCCCCTTCCCTCTAGAACCCTGTTTGTTTTTCAGAGTCCATCGTCTCTCATGGTTCGTCTACCCCTCCGATTTCCCCCACTTCATTCTTCCCCTCCCGCTACCTTCTTCTTCTTTTTTTTTCTTAACATATATGGCATTATTTGTTTCAGAGGTACAGATCTGAGATTCAACAGTCTTGCACAATTCACAGCGCTTACCAGAGCACATACCCTCCCCAGCGTCTATCACCCAGTCACCCCATCCCTCCCACTCCACCCCCCACTCCAACAACACTCAGTTTGTTTCCTGCGATTAAGAATTCCTCATATCAGTGAGATCATATGATACATGTCTTTCTCTGTTTGACTTATTTCACTCAACATAATACCCTCCAGTTCCATCCACGTTGCAAATGGCAAGATCTCATTCCTTTTGATGGCTGCATAATATTCCATTGTATATATATACCACCTCTTCTTTATCCATTCATCTGTCGATGGACATCTTGGCTCTTTCCACAGTTTGCCTATTGTGGACATTGCTGCTATAAACATCGGGGTACACGTACCCCTTCGGATCCCTACTTTTGTAACTTTGGGGTAAATACCCAGTAGTGCAATTGCTGGATCATATGGTAGCTCTATTTTCAAATTTTTGAGGAATCTCCATACAGTTTTCCAGAGTGGCTGCACCAGCTTGCATTCCCACCAACAGTGTAGGAGGGTTCCCCTTTCTCCGCATCCCCGCCAACATCTGTCGTTTCCTGACTTGTTAATTTTAGCCATTCTGACTGGTGTGAGGTGGTATCTCACTGAGGTTTTGATTTGGATTTCCCTGATGCCGAGCGATATTGAGCACTTTTTCATGTGTCTGTTGGCCATTTGGATGTCTTCTTTGGAAAAATGTCTGTTCATGTCTTCTGCCCATTTCTTGATTGGATTCTTTGTTCTTTGGGTGTTGAGTTTGATGAGTTCTTTATAGATTTTGGATACTAGCCCTTTATCTGATATGTCATTTGCAAATATCTTCTCCCATTCTGTCGGTTGTCTTTTGGTTTTGTTGACTGTTTCCTTTGCTTTGCAAAAGCTTTTTATCTTGATGAAGTCCCAATAGTTCATTTTTGCCCTTGCTTCCCTTGCCTTTGGCGATGTTTCTAGGAAGAAGTTGCTGCGGCTGAGGTCAAAGAGGTTGCTGCCTGTGTTCTCCTTTAGGATGTTGATGGACTCCTCTCTCACATTGAGGTCTTTTAACCATTTGGAGTCTATTTTTGTGTGTGGTGTAAGGAAATGGTCCAGTTTCATTCTTCTGCATGTGGCTATCCAATTTTCCCAACACCATTTGTTGAAGAGACTGTCTTTGTTCCATTGGACATTCTTTCCTGCTTTGTTGAAGATTAGTTGACCATAGAGTTGAGGGTCCATTTCTGGGCTCTCTATTCTGTTCCATTGATCTATGTGTCTGTTTTTGTGCCAGTACCATGCCGTCTTGATGATGACAGCTTTGTAATAGAGCTGGAAGTCCGGAATTGTGATGCCACCGGCTTTGCTTTTCTTTTTCAACATTCCTCTGGCTATGCAGGGTCTTTTCTGGTTCCATACAAATTTTAGGATTATTTGTTCCATTTCTTTGAAAAAAGTGGATGGTATTTTGATGGGGATTGCATTGAATGTGTAGATTGCTCTAGGTAGCATTGACATCTTCACAATATTTATTCTTCCAATCCATGAGCATGGAACGTTTTTCCATTTCTTTGTGTCTTCCTCAATTTCTTTCATGACTATTTTATAGTTTTCTGAGTACAGATCCTTTGTCTCTTTGGTTAGATTTATTCCTAAGTATCTTATGGTTTTGGGTGCAATTGTAAATGGGATCGACTCCTTCATTTCTCTTTCTTCTGTCTTGTTGTTGGTGTATAGGAATGCCACTGACTTCTGTGCATTGATTTTATATCCTGACACTTTACTGAATTCCTGTATGAGTTCTAGCAGTTTTGGGGTGGAGTCTTTTGGGTTTTCCACATAAAGTATCATATCATCTGCAAAGAGTGAGAGTTTGACTTCTTCTTTGCCAATTTGGATGCCTTTGATTTCTTTTTGTTGTCTGATTGCTGTGGCTAGGACTTCCAATACTATGTTGAATAGCAGTGGTGATAGTGGACATCCCTGCCGCGTTCCTGACCTTAGGGGGAAAGCTCTCAGTTTTTCCCCATTGAGAATAATATTCGCTGTAGGTTTTTCATAGATGGCTTTTATGATATTGAGGTATGGACCCTCGATCCCTATGCTCTGAAGAGTTTTGATCAAGAAAGGATGCTGTACTTTGTCAAAAGCTTTTTCTGCATCTATTGAGAGGATCATATGATTCTTGTTCTTTCTTTTGTTAATGTATTGTATCACATTGATTGATTTGTGGATGTTGAACCAACCTTGCAGCCCAGGGATAAATCCCACTTGGTCATGGTGAATAATCCTTTTAATGTACTGTTGGATCCTATTGGCTAGTATTTTGGTGAGAATTTTTGCATCCATGTTCATCAGGGATATTGGTCTGTAATTCTCCTTTTTGATGGGGTCTTTGGTTTTGGGATCAAGGTAATGCTGGCCTCATAAAATGAGTTTGGAAGTTTTCCTTCCGTTTCTATTTTTTGGAACAGTTTCAGAAGAATAGGTATTAATTCTTCTTGAAATGTTTGGTAGAATTCCCCTGGGAAGCCATCTGGCCCTGGGCTTTTTTTCTTGGGAGATTTTTGATGACTGCTTCAATTTCCTTAGTGGTTATAGGTCTGTTCAGGTTTTCTATTTCATCCTGGTTCAGTTTTGGTAGTTGATACATCTCTAGGAATGCATCCATCTCTTCCAGGTTATCTAATTTGCTGCCATAGAGTTGCTCATAATATGTTCTTATAATTGTTTGTATTTCTTTGGTGTTGGTGTGATCTCTCCTCTTTCATTCATGATTTTGTTGATTTGGGTCATTTCTCTTCTCTTTTTGGTAAGTCTGGCCAGGGGTTTATCAATCTTGTTAATTCTTTCAAAGAACCAGCTCCTAGTTTCGTTGATCTGTTCTACTGTTCTTTTAGTTTCTATTTCATTGATTTCTGCTCTGATCTTTATTATTTCTCTTCTCCTGCTGGGTTTAGGCTTTATTTGCTGTTCTTTCTCCAGCTCCTTTAGGTGGAGGGTTAGGTTGTGTACTTGAGACCTTTCTTGTTTCTTGAGAAAGGCTTGTATTGCTATATACTTTCCTCTTAGGACTGC